AATTATCGATGCATTTATTTGTTTATTAGCGTGTGGACACCCCTGAAAAAAAAATGTTGCAGCATTCTCTTTCCTTTTTGGCTTCTAGATCAAAAAAAAAAAATATCCACACTTCACCCCCTGCTCTAATCCAGGCTTGGGTGGGTTTAAGGAGAGGGTAATGAAATGCCAGCTAATATCCTCGCTCTGTCTGAACCCCCTTCTTCACGGCTGGGTGTTGCAATGCAAGTCACTGCTGGAATGTACTCTGTAATTCTGGCGAGGAGTCAAAAGGCTCCAACTCCTCAAATAACCAAAGCATGGTAGGAAGAAATCAGCAGAGCAGGCAGCAGCCCAGACAGCCAGTCCATTAGCAGCTTAACCACAGCAGATGTAAAGCCACCAACAAAACTCCCCACGGAGTCTCCCAAAAAGCCAGATGCTACTGCTATAAAAAGATCTGCTAGAAACTTGGCACGTCTCCTGCCCACATAGTTTTTTTTTAAGAGACATTTTTGAGATAGGAGGTTGTTGGGATTGTTTTTTTTTTAGTTTGGGGTTAAGGGAGAGGAGGAGGAGAAGGGAAGGGAGAAGGGAAGGGAGAAGGGAAGGGAAAAGTGAAGGGAAAAGGGAAGGGAAAAGGGAAGAGAAAAGGGAAGAGAAAAGGGAAGGAAAAAGGGAAGGGAAAAGGGAAGGGAAAAGGGAAGGGAAAAGGGAAGGGAAAAGGGAAGGAAAAAGGGAAGGAAAAAGGGAAGGGAAAAGGGAAGGGAAAAGGGAAGGGAAAAGGGAAGGGAAAAGGGAAGAGAAAAGGGAAGGGAAAAGGGAAGGGAAAAGGGAAGGGAAAAGGGAAGGGAAAAGGGAAGGAAAAAGGGAAGGGAAAAGGGAAGGGAAAAGGGAAGGGAAAAGGGAAGGGAAAAGGGAAGGAAAAAGGGAAGGGAAAAGGAAAGGGAAAAGGGAAGGGAAGGGAAAAGGGAGGGGAATCTTGTATTCATGAAAACAAAGTTCATAACATGTCCTGTTCCAGAAGGCAGTAGGCACAATTCCAGCCCTCTCCCACATGGGACTTTGGACTGACTTGGGGACCCTTCCTCAAAGAGCCCTGCCAATGCACTTGGGGTGAAACTGGCTGGTTTTTATCCTGTTCTCCTGCCCTGGGCTGCTGGTGAGCCCAGCTTGCCCTGCCTGCTGCACTTGTTCTCCTGCCTCATGCTCCTGGCTGGTGCATCTCCACTCAGGTGGTTGTGGTTGGCCTCTTGGTCTTTGCCTTTCAGGTTGCTTCATCATAGGACTTGGTTGCTCAGTGGCAGCACTACCAGCCCTTCCTGTTTTCCTGAAGTAGCTCTGAGCCTCGTGGAATTCCCAGCTGCTGGATCCATGCGAGGAGGGGGTTTCAGCTGTGATTTTAGCAACAACAACAACACAACCAGTAATAAACCCATCAGTAATGTGTAATCCTCGTGGTACAGACACCATCTGTGCCAATAAGACAAGCACTGTAGCCCAGGACACGTGGAGTCACCAACTCTACAGATATCTGCACTTAGATTGGCCAATGCCACCCATATGCCCAGATGAAAGACTCACCTGCATCTACAGATGGGGATAGATGTTGTTTGGGGAATGTCTGGTGAAATATTCTGCAAGATTTAGATGCAATCCCACAAGATGACCCCTTAATGGAAGTCTGAGCAGCAGTAGGGTGAAGACAAGCTGCCTATGAAATGGTGTTTGCTCCAAGACAAGCTAGGCCCTAGGAAATCACAGGAACCAAGGCTGAGAATGGAAATGGACACCCACAAAATGAGCCCCGAGGAGGAGATGGACCACTGGTGGTGACAACCTCTGGTGCCCAGGTTTGGCTTGCTGGGGCAGAGCAGGTTGCTAACCTCAGGACCTTACCAACAGCTTGTTCAACACATCTCTCTGTTCAGGACTGATCCTTCAGACGTGGTTCCTTCAAAACCATGAGTCACAGTGACAACTTTTTGGCCACTTTCTTGCACCTTTTTGTACAGTTAACCCAGGCTGGATATAATATAAGACATTCCTGGCACTATTATCATCTTCCTCCTCCTTCTTCAGCACTAGCTTTTTGAATTTCCCTGAGCATTTTATTGTTACTGCCACCAGCTTGGCTCTCTAACTGTTGGTTTTCTATCGTGGCTACTCAACAGGACATTTTGTTACAGCTCGTATATTCAGGTAATTGGATAGTTTCTGCTCTCTTGTTCCCAGCAATTCTTCTCTGAGGGGCTGACCTGTTCAGCCTTTGCTATGCAGCTTGCATCCTGGTATTCAAATGTTCCACTGATCACCTTTCCTCCTCTAGGTTTCCAAGATTTCTGTTTTAACAATACCTCTTGCTTAAATGGAGTGTTGAATAGTCAGATTGTTTTTTTCTCTATTTCCTACCAAACTGTATCAGCCTCCACCTTCCCCTTTTCCCACCCCCGAAGGATGTATCTTTTTGTTTTTACTTTTTAAGTTATTATTCCCCAGAAATTGAGCCAACTTAATCCATGTGCTTCTTCACGCTTCTCAGCTTTCCTTTGCCTCCACTGGGGTTTTTTCCCAACAGCATTTATTTCCCATTTCCCCTTCCCTCACACAGACACAACGAGGAAAACAGGTGACAAAGAATCCCACGTTTTACTACGAAAAGCTACAGAACCAAGATGTGGAGATTAGAACAATTTCCACTTTGCATTGGGAAAGACTTTTTCACTTGTTTCATAGGTCAGGCTGTTGGAATGGGAGATAATCCTTGTGGAGAAGAGACACATTTTAGGAAATGCTCTGTACACTTCTGTTTTTCTTTGTTTGTTGTTTTTTTTCTTTTACATCTTATATCTTTATGATGTTTTCTTCCAAAGCTGAGAAACATGTGAACAAAACTGTCTTTGTTGCTGATTGCTGGACATTTTACTTTTCCTGGTTTTCTCTAAAGATTGAGAATATTTCTTGCATGCATGAGATTTATACGACTGGTTTAGTTTCTTCTCTACCTTACTCTGTTACATCTATTTCTTTATGAATGCAATAAACACAAAGAGAAAGGTCCAGTTATTTTGGAAGGAAGAAAGGAGGGAAGGATATGACTAAATAATTACCTACTTTGATCGATTTAGTAAGGAAAAAAACTTTCTTTTTCTCCTCTCTTGCTTAACAATTTTGTACTGCTGTTTATATTTTGTATTGGAAAAAGAACCCCAACAAAAACAATAACAATGCCCAGGTATTCATAGTTCAAATTCCAGTTTCTTCAGTTTCCTGAGTGCCTTGAATCTCCACGGAGGCCACCCTCTTCCCATGAAGAAACAAGACAAAACAAACAAACAAAAACCACCGTTTCTCCAAATAACTTGAGGCACAGCACGTCTTGTAGCTCTGTAGTGGGAATCAGGGCTGAAAAATGAGAAGACATTCCATGACATCGAAGTCCAAGGCCAGCATCTTCTCAGCCCCTATCTCGTCCTAAAAATAAAGTTATTTTGAAGCATTAGGGGAAGAAAGGAGAAACAATACCACCAGGAATCAACCTCAGTTGTCCTCCTGCATCTCTCTGCTCAGCTAGTTGGCAGTGGGGGCTCCAGCTGTCTCTGCACCACGTAGGTGCCAAGTGACATCAAAGAGCAATCGCACAACTTTTGGCAATAAAATGGGAATTTCCCATGGCAGGGGGTTTAGGATGGGATTAAGGCTTGAAAATATTTCTAAACAATAAGTAAGGATCACAATACCTGTGGGATTGCCCATGATGCCTGTGGGCCAGTCTGGAGAGTTGGAATTGAAGAGTGGGAGCTGGTGTTGGAAAACTGATTGTATGTTCAGATAAATTAAATGTCTTTAAGAAATAAAACTGGAGTGTAATAAGAAAAGAAACACTCATCTTTTTTTTCTCTTTTACATTTTGTTCAATTATGTCTTGGAACAAAAGCCCCCAAAAACCTGGATGTGACTCTGACTTAACTCCCTGGTGAACACAATCAAAAGTCACCACACAACAAATAGGTCTTGGTAGGCTGGGACAATGTCAGCTCCAAAAGCAAAACAAAGCCAGGCCTGGTCAGGACAGTGTAGAAAAATAAACCAAAGCACAAGGGAAAAACAAAACAAAACAACCAAAAAAAGCCCCAAAACCCCAAACCAAGCAAATTCTAAAATAACCAGCACAATTCTGAAGGAAGCCACTGCTTTTCCCAGTTTATCAGATACTTTGAAGAATAGATGGAGCTGGTTAACTCTCAGGTCAGATCTTCCCCAAGAACTGAAGAGAGATAAATAATGGTGAATGCCAGCTGAAAACAGCAGGCACCTTTTCCAGGAATACAAGACTAAAGTGACCAGAAAATGCTGGAAATGAAGTTCAGCTCATTTGCCACGGCGAGACAGCGATACCCTTAATGGTGCTGTGGTTTGGAGAACACAACTGAATACAGCCAGAAGATGTGCTGGACAAAGCTCATGTCTTTTACTGGAAAACCAATCCATTTGTCAAGAGATGTTGGGAGACAGATTTATAGCAGGCCATTAATTATCCTCCTAGTGCAGGTTCAGCACCATAAGTGTGGATTTACTCCTTCTTATCTACTTTTCCTTGTATTTTTTGCCTACATGTTCTTGAATCAGCTCAGTTCTATCTCCTTGCCTTTCTAGGAGATGTCTAGGAGCAGGGACTGGTAAGTGGACATGGAAAATACACATCCATTGAAGCTTCCAGTCAATCATAAAGGAATGAACATAAAGGAAGGAGTGTTCTTGGGAAATCAGATCCTTTTAGGATACATTATTTTGGCTTTCTAAAATAAAGGTGCCCACATTTACCAGACAACTGCAGGAAGCTCATTGATTTTCTGTGCACTTCATGGGATGAAGGTTTTACTCAGTCTTGTCCTACCTCTTTGTACAGCACGCTGAAAAGATTTGCTCCCTTTGATTAGTCACACATCCTTAAGTTTGTCTCAGATGCCAAACCAAGATAATAGGATATAGAAAGAGGACAGAAGAGACTCACCTGGCTTTCAGTTAGCCATGATGTGTTTCACAAAAGCTGGAAACAAGAGAAAGAGAAGGATCATTTATCAATTCCCTTTCACTGAACTCAGTAATGTCCTAGCTTGGTTGTTATTAAAATTCACTCTTCTTGCTGCCTCTGATACAATGACGAAATCACCACTTTTAATTCTAGATTCCAGGTGCTAAATGCTTTTTAAGTCCTTAAGATAATGTATAGAGGGTGCAGAGGAGTGGAAATGAACACACACCTCCATCAAGCTTAATCCCCTACCCAGCTGCCTTGTGGAACTGGCTTTCCAAAGTTTACAGCCATGAAAAACTCTGGACCCTCATCTTGCAAGGCTTTCAAAACTTCAGTATGATTGTGATAAGTCAGGGGGCACTGGAGAGAACATCCAGAATCCACAGGAGGTCACCAAGCCAGGAATCATGACTACAGCTCTCCAGCAAACTCAGGTTTACAAAGAAAGAAGGTATTTCAAAATCAAATTAAGCTTTTGGTTCTAAAAGGTTTGGGTTCCATTTATCTCCATTAAAAGAAAAAAAAATTCATTATATCTTCAAAATTCCTTCAAAAATCCCTTCAAAAAAAGGGAAAAAAACCTTTTGCAGTAAGGAAATATTTTTTCCTCCCCAATAAACCTCCCATGCTGTGAGTTTAAGTTCATGAATTCATTATCTATAATTTCAAAATTCAAAAGGAAAAGGAAAAAAAGGTTTTGCAGTAAGGAAATATTTTTTCCTCCCCAATAAACCTCCCATGCTGTGAGTTTAAGTTCATGAGTCCTTTGGGTTGGCTAAACCTACAGACTTCTACCAATAACTGGCTTGTAAAAAATGCTCCCCTGAGCTCAGATAACTGATATTTGCAAACAGAAAAGAGAGAACACCAACCTAAAGAGTCATAAAAAGTTCAATAAATATGACAGACCAGCTAAATCAGCAAGACCATGCAATGGCCAGTCAACAGTCAACCTTCAGAAGGACTCAGCTTGTATCAAAGTTTGTGTCCATGATGCCTACTAGATATTTTGGGTTTATTGAAGACCCTGAAGCATGGAGACTTGCAAGATGAAGGAGAGTACCACGGTCCATGTCCTCGTGGCCAAACATTATTCTGGCTTTTTACAATAGCACTGGAATAAAAGGGAAGCTCTTTGGAAGGTCTTGTAGGATTCTTAGCACGCCAAAGAGGATGCTAAGGGTAGTTTTTGCTGAGCTTTTGAAGGAAAATGTAGGGATTTTTTGAAGGGAATTCTCAAAAGGGATGTGTAGCTCACAAAGAACTGTGGGAGCAGGTAGAAAAAATAATGTAATTTAAAAGACAAACAAAATAGGAATACGCAGTCCCACCTCCTGAAAGGACCATGGCCATCCAGCTATGGAAGATACAAGTAACCACCAAAAGACAATGTATTTCAGATGAATTTGAGAAGCTAAAATTTGGACAAGCACCCATCCTGCTCCAGATCTTCCATGGATTTAAACTTTCTCAGGATAATTGGAACAAAAACCTTCCAGCACATGAGCACTGCTCAGCCTGGAGTGGTCCAACCTACCTTCATAGTTGATACAGCCATTGGCATCTTCCTGACCAGCCATTAGCTTATCAACCTCTTCTTCAGTCAGCCTCTCACCTGGATGAAAAGCAAAATGCTTGGTCAGTACCTGGGCCACTTCTAAAGAGAATCCACGAACCAAAGAATCTACAAGAAAATGGTAGAAAAGAAGGGGAGAGTTTCTCTGCAGTTTAATTTGTGGTGCTGACTGCTAGGAAAGCTGCTTTTGTACTTGCAAACTGAGAATATTTGATTTGAAAACCAAAAATAGAGAGTGAGCATGGAAACCCACATGATATCAAGTTCACACGCTCATTCTTCTAGGAATAAGCTTCCTCTACGTGCCAGACCTTGAAGGCTTTAGTTTTTATCTGAGTCCTCACCAAGAAAACTCTTTAAGTCACTATCTAATTTACCTCTGAGTTCAAGGTTCAGGAAAATTCCAAGGTCATACTCAGGATCTCTGATTTGGGTCGTGATCCATTCCATTTCATTTGGTTATTTAAATAGTAGGTGTCTATTTGCCTGCAAGGCTTCAGAGGTTGAGCAGAGATCAGTCCAATCCATCCCCTTACTCTGATTTTTAGGCACTTAGGATGAGATTAAATGAGTTCCAGAAAAATAAATGAGAAATTTGAGGGTGATTTCATCTGAAATCACATAAATGAAGATAAAATAAAATGAAGATAAGATCAAATCAAATCAAATGTGTGCCCTGCTACTCATATTATTCCACTTCCCCATCTCTGAGTTCTGGCATAAAGGAATAAGTCCAACCATTGACCAACCACTGCCAAGTCATCATTAACCACGTCCCTCACCCCACATCTCCACAGCTTGGAAACCCCTCCAGGGGTGGGGACTCCACCACTGCCCTGGGCAGCCTGGCACAGCCCTGGGCAACCCTCCAGGGCAAGAAATTGTTCCTCAGGGGCAACTGAAACCTCCCCTGGGGCAACTTGAGGCTGTTTCCCCTTGTCCTACCACTTCTTCCTTGGGAGCAGAGCCCGACCCCCCCCTGGCTCCAGGCTCCTGTCAGGAGCTGTGCAGAGCCAGAAGGTCTCCCCTGAGCCTCCTTTGCTCAAGGCTCAGCACCCCCAGCTCCCTCAGCTGCTCCTCACAAGGAGGATTGCTCTAGACATGATTAAAGAACTTTTTTTTAGTCTTATAACTGAGGACAAAGCGATACCTGAAATCTTGCCCAGTCATTTTCTCCACAAAAGTTACCCACCATGATACAAGCTGTATGGGAAAGATCTCAGAGATGAAACTTCACAAAGAGAGGTTCACCCTACCCAGCGTAGCCAAAACGTGGCGGAGTTCAGCCCCCATCACTGTTCCATTTCCCTCCTTGTCAAACACACGCAGACCCTCCACGAAGTCCTCGTAGGTGCCTGTGTCTTTGGTCTTGGCAATATGCTGGAGCATGGGCAGGAAGGTCTCAAAGTCAATCATCTTGGAGGTCATTTCTACAAAGACACGGATGGAAATGAAAGTTTTGGTGGATTCTGAGAGAGTTGAGGAGTAGGTAGGTAGGTAGTTGATGTAGGTTGGTAGGTAGATAGGTAGATAGATAGATAGATACCTCCTAGTATCTAACATACACAAACATCATGAAAAAAATCCCATTTTTAGATTCCCAAGGCTGTTCCATACGACAAAGAAGCACAAAACCAAGCAGAAGACAGGAAGCTCATTCCCAACCAAAACTCAGGTTTTTTTCACAGTTCTATGACTCAGAGATGTTTAAAATCATACTGGGAGAGGAGCTTCAGAGGGAATAAGCTGGACCAGGGTGGTGTATCCCATTTTCCTCAGTCTTTGCCTTTCAAGGTCATTAGAGGGCATTTTGTCCCCATGTGACTCCTTGTCCTGGCGCTGCCATATCCTGACCTACTGTAGTTGTTGATTGAGAGCCTAATTATCAAAAAAAATAATAATGGCAAAAACTTGTCATTATCAAACACAACGATACACAGGGCAGCTCAATTAATTCATTCCCCTAAATTTGGGACAATGACATTGACAGCAAGATCACTTTTGACCTCAATTTCTTTTCTTCCAATGATCTGCAGATGCTGTTCCACATCCCTCCTCACCTCACAACCAACTATCCACCAGAAAACGGAGACTTCACCTGCTTTACAAATCACTCTTGGAGCGATCTCTTCCCAAAACAAACATAGAGGAGGACACCAACCTTCTGGTTTGGGTCGGCCAAGCAGTTTCATGACCTCAGCCTGGGTTGGGTTCTGCCCCAGAGCTCTCAAGACGTCTCCACATTGAGCGTATGTGATTTTCATCTCGGATTTGGGAGTCCGGTCGAAGAGTGAGAATGCTTCTTTAAATTCTGGAAGAGAAAGAGATAACAAGAACTGCATGCCATGTTCCTTCAGATAAAACCAAGCCTAGAGCTTTCCCCTCATTAACTCTGCCTGACCCTTTTATTTGGCAGTTTGGGAACAAGTTTGATGGATTTTCTTGTTGCTGTTATCTGCAATGTTTGTGTTTCTCCTCCCCTGCGTTTCCCATTCGAACAGGGAATGGAATGGGGGAGGTCAGATGTTCTTCTCGTGGTATTTCTGTCCCAGCTAACATGGGGAAGTGCAGAAAATGTGGTAGAAATGGTTGGCCTTGAGAGCTTTCCAGTGTGGGAGGAGCTCTCAGGATGGCACAGAACTCAAGAGCAGCTCTGCTCATTAGCTAACGATGTTGGATGGAGGATGAGGCACTTAGAGAGAGGTGACACAACCCACTGAGATGAAGTACCTCTATTAGCAGGTAACTTGATGTGCCATGAGAACCTGCTGGAATAGTCACACCCCAAACAGTCTACTGGTGGGGGATGCTGAAGGTGTATGGAGAACCTTAAAACTGATCAGCTGTTGGCTTTAAAATTGTCAAGGAGCAGATTTGGAAGAATTAGAGAATTATAGATGGGTTTGGGTTGAAGGGACCTTTCAAGGTCATCCAGTCCAACCCCCTGCAGGAAGCAGGGACATCTGCAGCTAGAGCAGGGTGCTCAGAGCCCTGGCCAACCTCCCCTGGGATGGTTCCAGGGATGGGGCAGCGACCACCTCTCTGGGCAGCCTGGGCCAGGAGCTCACCACCCTCTGCAGCAAAAATTCCTTCTTTCTATCTGGTCTAAATCTCCCTCTTAGTTTCAAACCATAACCCCTTGCACTGCCACAACAGACCCTGCTCAGAATCTGTCCCCAGCTTTCTGACAGGCCCCTTGAAGTCCTGAAAGGCCACCAGAAGGTCTCCCTGGAGCCTTCTCCTCTCCAGGCTGCCCAAGCCCAACTCTTTCATCCTGACCTCCCAGCAGAGAGGTTCTAGCTCTCCTAATTTTCTTTTTTTCCAGGAACAATCCGATTGCTTCTGGAGAAGTCAGGTTTGGGATGAGCTCCTGGTGCCAGGAGAGGTCTCATGTGTGGAGATGCAAGAATCCCCTCCAGTGGTTCCAGGTCTGCCCTTCCCCTTGCAAGACACCCAGCTCCTCTCCACTACATCCCTGGGGACATGTCCTCATGTCCTCTTTTTGCTTCTGGCCAAAGAGGGAGCTCCTCACCACTGCAAGCAGCAACATCTTGACAAGAACATTCCCATGAGACAGGGTCCTTCTTCTACCACTAATTAATGGAGTCAGTGCAGGATCAAGTGCCAGGACAAGAGGAAATGGCCCCAGGTTGTGCCAAGGGAGATTTAGGTTGGCTCTTAGTAGGTTGGATCTTAGGAAAAATTTCTTCACTGAAAGGTTGTGGAGCACTGGAGCAGGCTGCCCAGGGCAGTGGCTGAATCACCATCCCTGGGCGTGTGGAAAAGTCGTGGAGATGTGGTGCTGAGGGACACAGGGCAGCAGAGGACTTGGTTGAGTTGGGTCAATGGTTTCACTTGACGCTCTTAAAGTTCTTTTCCAAACTACACGATTCTATGAGTCTCTGACCACACGGCTCTGAGTCACATCCCCATCCAGCTCGGGACCTGTGCAGCTCTGCTCGAGGCCAGAATCACCCACCAACGACTTTTTCCATCCCGTCAGCACAGGCACCAAGTCAAAGTGCACCCAGACACCTCTGCCCAAACACCAACATCTTTGCAAAGGTCAGGGGAAACCCAGAGTTTCTGCTCAGAGCCACTGTTCCTCTCTGCCCCCACCCCTCCTCTAGCTGATCTCAACATTTCCCCCCTTCTCCAAGTTAAGATTGAGCTGGTTTATGAGAGGACTGAACACTCTGCCTCCACAGCCCAGCTTTCCAGCAGCTGGGGAGAAGTTAGCACTTTGGCCAGGGCCTTCTGCACGCTCCAAGCTGTGCCTCTCATTTCAATTTAATAGTTATTGCACTTTACCCAAGTGGTGATTAGAACCACATTGGTGGAGGTTTAGCAGCCACGTGAGAAATA